GTTTGCATTAATAAGCTTTTAACTTACAGGAATTTTTTGTAACATTTTTTTCGATACTGTCAAATTGAAAATTTTCTGAAAATTACTAGCATATAATTTCCAACCATCGAGGTGCATAAGTAGTTGCTAGATAAACGAAGAAATTAATGTAGTAGGTACATAGACTTTAATGGAAGGATACTTAGTAAAAACTTAGCTAATGCGATGAATGTCTAACTATACATATACATACATATGTGAATACAGAAAACCTCAACCTTTAGCTCACCTAACAGAGATAATTTTATTCGTTCAAATAAAATGAGAATAAAATAACTTCAATCATTATTTAGCATTCATGTAAAGAGCTTAAGGGCAAAAAAAAAAATAAAATACATAATTTCAATGCAATTACTTAGTTAAATAACTACACAAAATTGAGTGGCAGACAAAATAGCCAACTGTTGAAAATAAAGTGACTTTAAATGTTCAAAAATATTTATGTAATTATAACAAGCTTGCACAAATTAACAAACACTTATGTACATATGTACACACTTATACACATTTTGTTTACATACTAAATGCATATAGCACATAAATAAGTCGTCAACAGAGGTTTTCGTTGCTGTCAGGCAATTAAATCAAGCAAGCACAATTCAATTCAACTGCATATTCACACGTACATACATACATAGATATAGTATGATTTTTTCAAACGCCTCAATGAAAATATAAACGGACGTAATTGATGCATCAATTTATTATGACTTTAGAAATAAAGTCGTTTAAATGCGACTACTGCGTGTTTTCTCCTCGGCTCGTTTCTCAATGCAGGCTCCTTCCTCCGCGCTGCTTCCAACTTCGAATTGACTTTTTTGTGGCAAGCAACACAATCAACGCTATAACCGCTATATAGGATTTTCCCCAATGGATTCGAATAAAACAAACTGTGTGTGAGGGATCAAGGAACATCTTTATAGATTTGAAAAGCCTACGAATACCATTATGTATGGAATTCAACATCGTTTGGTCCAATGGTCGAGTGATACAATTTTCGATCAAATCAATCGGTAGATTGCGGCTTATTGGCAATAGACCTGCAGCTTTAGAAAAAGGTTAGCGTGGTCAAATCGTACGATCTTGGTGACCAATTCACGCCAACTATGCGAGAGATAGCCATACCCTCAAATCGTTCATTCGGACTGTGCACAGTGGCGCCAAGGTGATTTGGCATCAGTGACTACTATTTCTTCTACAAGCCGCACTACATTACTTACACAGCATTTTTGTATACTGTTATTTAAAAGCACTATTTTTGAATAGGGCCATTATTTTTGATGCCGTTTACAATAATAAAATAAAGTACAGAATAATAACCACCAGGCAAGCGTCAACAACCAAATTATTTCTGTTGCTCGGAAATGTAGTTTGCCATTTTTCTTGATAGCTGCAGACTAATTAAAGAAGTTTTGATAAATATATTTTTTAAGTTCTTTAATGCCATTTAACATGAATTGTTAGGAATTGTGGTATGGCGAATTCATACAAGGTGATATCGGCAGCACATAAACAAAAACTACACTAACTAATTGTACTTACAATGACAATCAGAACAAAAAAAAATATACAAATTTTGCCAATCGGCGCAGTTCACCCTGAAATCAGTTGCTTCGGTAGCACCACCTTGTATGAATTCGTCTTGAATTGTAGACTAGCTGTACAAAATAAAGTCATTCCTTCAACAAAAATCGAAGATAGATATTCGTATAAGTGTTCCTACACACGTTACACATTTACTGCTCACGCTTCGCTTTTACACCACTGTAGCAAAACACAATCTCATTTTCAGTTTTGCCGACCACTGATGTAAATATATCTGAAAATTTTTGTCGACACGCATTTATGGCTAGGTCAGATAAGCATACATATGTATGTATGTGCATTAGACTGCATCACTCCCCATACAAAAAAAAATCGGTACTATTTTTCCATTGGAATTATAAAATCTATTATATTTTAAGACGTCCACCAAAATATTTCGAAAAAATATTAAGATTTAAGTGAGCTGGACCAATTTAAATATACCTCCAAAAATAGAGTTTTTTATGAACAAAAATAGTTTCTTCAAACATTTTTTTGAAAAAATCCCCTCAAATGACAAAACGGTTTAAGCTTAAAAAATTTTCATAAAAATATTTTAATGAAATTAAAAAAAAATTGAACGGAATCGTAATGATGAGATTTTTGATGCTGTTTTTTAACTTTTTTCAAAGATTGGTATAAGAAAAACTTGAATAACTGAACCTAATTATTTCTTTGCTAATCAACTCATTCATAGGATGAAAGAGAAAGGTAGGATAAACGAACGTCATTCAAAGTTGAATTAAGATGTGTTGGTGTTTGAAAAAAAAATTGGAGCACGAATGACTTTTTGTTTGGACAGAAATAAAAACAGTGTGAAAATACCTTTCTACTGATCCCATAAGTCTAGATCAGAATAGTTTTGGCCCAGTTATTCAAGTTTTTCGTAAATCAATCTTTNTTGGAGCACGAATGACTTTTTGTTTGGACAGAAATAAAAACAGTGTGAAAATACCTTTCTACTGAGATCCCATAAGTCTAAATCAGAANCAAAGATTGGTATAAGAAAAACTTGAATAACTGAACCTAATTATTTCTTTGCTAATCAACTCATTCATAGGATGAAAGAGAAAGGTAGGATAAACGAACGTCATTCAAAGTTGAATTAAGATGTGTTGGTGTTTGAAAAAAAAATTGGAGCACGAATGACTTTTTGTTTGGACAGAAATAAAAACAGTGTGAAAATACCTTTCTACTGATCCCATAAGTCTAGATCAGAATAGTTTTGGCCCAGTTATTCAAGTTTTTCGTAAATCAATCTTTGAAAAAAGTAAAAAAACAGCACCAAAAATCTCATTCTTATGATTCCGTTGAAAATATTTTTAAATATTTGTATGCATATTTTTTAAGCTTAATCTGTTTTGTCATCTGAGGGGCTTTTTTCAAAAAATTCTTTACGAAACTATTTTTATTCATAAAAAACTCCATATTTGGAGGTATTTTCAAATCGGTCCAGCTCACTTAAATCTTAATATTTTTCCCAAATATTTTGGTGAACGTCTTAGAATATAATAGATTTTGTAATCCCGGCGGAAAAACCGCAGCTTTTTTTGGTGATGCAGTCTAATGTGCATACATACATACATACATCTGTATGAACATTGGTCACATACATACATAGGTGTATAGCAGAAACTTTTGAACAGAAGTTATGCATGACACTGACAACGCGCAATGCTTCAAACGTCACTGACAGCCGAAAACAGTCATTCGAGCATTTACCAACATTGCTCTTCGGAACAGCAGCCATACATATCCAAATATTTTGCAACGAAAAACAATTTGTTGACGTTTTACGGACAATACCAATGCATTTTAGGTTCTTTTGGTTGAATAATCGCTGGAATGATTTACCAGCTTTGTTTCAAGTGAAGTATGCCTGTATGTAAATAGTTACATGTGTATGTATATGCATACATATCTGTGTTTATAAGCAATAACCGCCTAAGTCGAATTAAAAAATAATTGAATTATATATGCTTTCGTATTCGGCAACTACTATTCCGTGTGCATGTAAAATCCCCATCACGCCAGCTAGGCTATTTAAAAAGTTAAAGACGAACATATTTAGGGTCCCCATAAGATTAACATTACAAATCAAAATATTGAAAACGTTTTTTCGCGAGTTCATGTTTTTCGACTTAGGTGGTTATTGTTTTGCTTATGACCACAGATATATGAGGCCATGAGAGCCAGGAATACCTATATAAATTCTATTGTTTAGTAACACGAGAGATAATAAATCTGTGATGATACCTAGTGGAGTAAAAGAAAACGGATTATTGCCGTTTCGATTCAACTAATGCAGTTTAAGCTGAACTTTAAATTTTTTTTAAATGTCAGTTAGGCTTCTCTGGGTGTCAAGGCCTCACATGTATGTATGTATATCGAAACACATTTTGCGAGGATCTCTAAAATTCCTTAAATCATTATAGGATCAATCAAAATATAGGAAAGGAGCGTAAAATGGTGACCTCAAGTTTGGCTGTTATAATTATTTTTACTTCAATTCCTATGTAAATATGTTTGTTAGGGTGGTAAATTTGTATCGGAGATTTTTTGACTATGCCCATATAGCATAGGAGAGTTGTTCGTGTAAGTCTAAGCACATTTGCCTAAGAAACCGTGGGTCTATGTATTTGGAGTTTGGCAAATTGCGAAAAAAGGTTTCTTTTAGCTGGCATTTTGCTGTAGTGTCGTAAAGAAATGCTTAAATTCCGTATAAAAAAAAATGCTGTGAAGGGTTTTTGGTATGAGGAATCCATTTCTGGACTTATCTTTTTCCTAAAACATCCGCCAGATGGCACAATAGTGTAAATTTTCACATTTTCTTACAAAGGGCTTGACTTGATTGACTTCCTCAATTTGCAACTGTCAAGAGTATATGTTTTCAAATCCTAGCCACCGCAAATGATCCTTTCATATCCAGAATTTATTATATTTACGCCACACAACTTGTCCTTTTCATCGCATCTAGGGCACATCAGACAAATGTATATACCTGCAATGTACAGTTGTAATTTTCACATTTTTCCCCTTTTTTCGTACACGCGAATTCTGTTGAGAGTTTCATCACCAGAATTTATGTAACAATAAATAACCAAAAAACAATTTGCGGTCACTGTCATCGAAAGTCATGAAAAATCCATTACGTATACATACACAAAATATACACAAACACACATTTATTTACACTTCTTTTTTATTTATTCCTTGTTACAGAATTATGAAGGCCACCACGCGGCTTTNATCATAAAAAACCCATTACGTATACATACACATACATATGATTTACCTAAGTACATACATATGAATGTGCAAATATACACAAACACACATTTATTTACACTTCTTTTTTTATTTATTCCTTGTTACAGAATTATGAAGGCCACCACGCGGCTTTTCTCGATTGTGGTGCTGATCTCCGCCGCACGCCTCGTCTGTACGGCGCAACAACGCTACAACAGCAACAATGCTGTCGGATATCCGCTGGACGACGCGGAAGCGAAGTTAATACAGGTAAATAAAGTAAAGAACAAGATAAAGCGCCACAATGGAGCAGCTCATGGCAGTTGGTTCTTCTAACTGAATGCATATTTAAATCGTTCTACATAAATCTGATGATAAAACTTGTTACCTTTGGATGATTAAGTCGAGAGATAAAGGTAAATGATCACTGAAGTCAAACGGCTTGAAATGACTTATGCCACTTTCAAAATAAACGGTTCAATTGATTTTTCGGTTACTTTATGAACTTTTAAAATTGATCTTAAAATAATTATGCCTTACGTAAATTGGTATCTACTTACATACATACATACATACATGTGTAGATCCATATCAAGAATGATAGAATCCAAGATTGCGCCGATTGCAGCAGAATTCGTGAGAGTAATTTTGGCGTGACGTCACCGTAGAGTTGACAACTGAGAGCGGCAAATAAAACTGCCGTCTAGTGATGTGCGGAATTGTCGGTACCTAATATTTAAAAAAAGGTTTCGGTACCCCATATTTCCTTATCGGTACCCGATACTGATTCTTTACTAGTTTCGGATCGACAGCGCACTTGTTGACGAAAAAATATTTCATATCGTCCCATTCAGCTGGAACAAAAATGCTTCAAACAAGTAAGAGTTTCTCTGTATTANTTTACCTTTGGATGATTAAGTCGAGAGATAAAGGTAAATGATCACTGAAGTCAAACGGATTGGAATGACTTATGCCTTAGCCACTTTCAAAATAAACGGTTCAATGGATTTTTCGGTTACTTCATGAATTTTTAAAATTGATCTTAAAATAATTATGCCTTACGTAAATTGGTATCTACTTATATACATACATACACACATGTGTAGATCCATATCAAGATCGCGGCGATTGCAGCAGAATTCGTGAGAGTAATTTGAGAGCGGCAAATAAAACTGCCGTCTAGTGATGTGCGGAATTGTCGGTACCCAATATTTAAAAAAAGGTTTCGGTACCCAATATTTCCTTATCGGTACCCGATACTGATTCTTTACAAGTTTCGGATCGACAGCGCACTTGTTGACGAACAAATATTTCATATCGTCCGATTCAGCTGGAACAAAAATGCTTCAAACAAGTAAGAGTTTCTCTGTATTATGGCCTCGAATCGACAGATATACACATTTCATTTGAATCACTATTAAAAGCTCTATTGGCTCCTACATTCGGGTTTTGATAGGCGAGTCTCCCCTGAACCGTTTTTTCCATATTTTTGGCCTATGTGCGCTTTTATTCGAAACCTAAATGTTTCGGTACCGAGTATCGAGAGTATTGGATACCTGAAAAGTATTGACTCAGCACATCCGTACTGCTGTCAGCTCGTCTGTGACGTCAGCAAAACAGCTGATTCTGTCAAATTCACTGAGAGACGATTAGCGGTATCGCCATCGGCGCCACCTTCTGTATTCCCTCCACCGTGGATCCATGTGTATATTACCAAAAAAAAAAGAAGTATGTACATATATTAGCAAACAAACATACAACAAATTTACAAAAGTGCATTNCAGCCGACTAGCGGTATCGCCATCGGCGCCACCTTCTGTATTCCCTCCACCGTGGATCCATATGTATATTACCAAAAAAAAGATGTATGTACATATATTAGCAAACAAACATACAACAAATTTACAAAAGTGCATTCAAGAACTTCATTTTGAGGGAAGTATCAGAGCTATTTAAGTATGTTTGCATGTACATATGTGTTTCACACAATTACACACTTACAAAAGTATATATACATATATGTATGTACATGTGTTTTTACCTAAATTATTTATGTATTCTAAATACTTGCGTCAGCTAACGCTGTCCGCGCATGATAGTATTGTCTTTTGTGTGGGCGAATGTATGTATGTACAGACAATATGTATGTATGTATGTATGTATGGAATGTTACTGTAAAAGTTTACAAAATATTTCACTTCAGTGGAGCATAAACAAAGTCTAACCAATATATTTTGAGATCTAGCTTGAAGCATACTTAAAGTGAAAGTACATACATATGTAACGTGCATTGCGTCACCGTCACCGTCAATATCAGCGTCAACGGTGCTTATGCTTCAAGTTCGTCTGTAAAATCATAAACTCGCTGCTACTCTTTGCAAATATTTGGTTGTAAAAGCGTAAACCTTTTAAATAAACCGGGTTTCCACACTAACTAAAGATAGTTACGTGAAAGAAATATCACATTTATACGTATGTATGTGCATATATTATTCCTGGAATTATCACCAGGAATGGAGGATTATTTTCATGCTAAAAACTTCGCCGTAGTAGCATTTTCACCGTCTTCCATGTGACATATGTATGCATGTAAATATTATATGGATTTTGTATTTGCATTTCACTTCTTATTAAACGAAAATGTCTTCGTTTAAAATGGTTGTTCCCACTTAACATACAGCGCTCCATTTGACCTACATCGGGCATTTAGTCACGAGGTACATAATTGTCATGTGAATTGTCTAGAAGCAAACATTGTCGCACACATTTTTAACACGATTCGTCTGTGCGTAGTACTCGCGAGCTTTAGCTTTTTAAGCTTATTTAAAAACTTTGGATCCGCTTGCTTCATAATTCCTAATTGTTCAACACGTGCATATGTATGTATGTGTGTACATAAAAATATAAGTAACCCAGTAAGAACCCTATCTGCTAAATAATGTGGTATATACGCCCAGTACTACAAACAGTTTGTGTGTGAAATTCAAAAAATTTCCATCATTTTACATAGGGCTCCTGGAGAAATCTAACGCATAATCGCTTCACGTGTGAGCAGTTTTCGCTTTCTTTTACATGGAGTTCGCTATCATATTATTCTATATGTTGTTGTCTCTTTCCAATCAAATATTATTATGCGATCAATAAGGTTATATATAACGCAAATAATGGCATTAGGATATCGCTAATATGCAAATGTGTTGCTTCGTGTTGACAATTTTGTAAGGGTATTTGAGAATGCGGTAGGTCGTTCTTGCTGGGTAAGTCACCAACTTTCACCAAGTACCTTGTGTGCTTTGCACTCTACTTCCATACAAGCATACATACTACATACATACATACGTATGCATGCAAGTGTAGTAGGTACGTACAACATAACGCGAAACATAAGGTTTCCTCCATTTTCTCTCCAACATCTGACTTTTTTATGATATTTGTTTTTGTCTCCTACTCATGTACCGCAACGGGATGAGTTATGAGAGTAGTCGACTAATGTGCATGTGAAACAAGCAGGAAAATATTTACGTTTGTAAAACACAAACGCAGAGAAAAAGTTTGTTTTCTTAAGATTCCTATAGACGTGCGAACACACACACACACACACTCACACACATGTGTACACACAAGTATGTGACGTTGACAAGAAATCAAACTCATCAAGTTCTGTAGTGAAAAACCATTGTTTTCGTCTTTAATATTTATCTTGTTACCTTTGGCATTTACAGTAATGAGCTTTGACTTTTCCACACCTCCGTCGAACTTGATGATGCACAAGACGGTTCAAGAGTGTCTCAAGATTTCTTAAAAGTAGAAGATACTCCATATTGTATATGTATTTATGTATGTACACTGTGTACCGTATGTTTATAAATGTGTGCGTATATGTACTATAAGCATAAACAATTGATTTCAAAGTACGATTACTCATCTTAATCTAATAATTCTTAAGTGCATATGAAGTAAGATATAGTAATATGTACATATGTATATGCGTATGTATTTATATGCAGCCAAAAATGTACGCTAACATTTACAGGTGGATTATCTCATTTTCTAACGAATTGCTCAAAACATATACACAATTACAATTCTGTAAGCGATTTTAGTTGATTAGCGGCCACTGCGCACCGGGGCGTATGAGGACGTGCCCTCACTCGTTCGTTATAGATAAAGGAAGCAATGATTGTACGTACATACAAATGTATGTAATTTGACTATGCCTGAATCGAATACACTCCTACGTGCGCGACCATTCTGCCTACTAGGGTAAAATAATGTGTGTAAGTACATACATATGTACATATTTGTTATAAATTTAAGCATCCTCTGTTATGCTTCAATTCGTATGGAAATTTTTCAATTTACAATTTCTGCTATTTCGGCTATTGGCATTTTATCTGCTCATTGGCATTGCACTCATAATCGCTATACAAACATAATTACATATGCAGCGAAATGTTGTGCATTCCCATTACACAACAGTAGGCATCATCGGCGGCAATGGAAGCGACAATGCCGCAACCACAACTACCTGGGCGGTAGGGTTACGCCAAACTTAAAGAGCAGCTCACACTCTGATTTTCGGCAGCATGTGTACATTCACATACACTTGTGTATAAAAACTCGCCCATACGTATGTACATACCTACATATATACATGCATATATGCATATTTATATGAAAAAAAAACCCAAAATGTATTGTAACATCAGCAGTCGGAACCTGCAAAAACATCAGTTATCTTAGTCTTATATATACATATGTATGTATGTACATTATTATACATGCATGTATGTATGTATGAGCCAATCACGTGTATTTTTGTAAAGACTTATGCAAATGCAATGGTATTATTAACCGCCAACAGCTTTTCACTTTAACTGAAATTTATTTACATGTCCATTCAACTTTACTTTATATCATAACAAATAACAAATTACGGGAATAATTCTTATGTACATTCTAAGAGATGCAACATTTATTAAATTAAATACTTATTTAAAATTTATTTCATTCATATTTTTATTTCTTCATTATGTTTATTACGCTTACAATTCGTTTAATCTCATTTTGCAGAATGATTATTTGCTGGAGAAACGAAACAAACCATCATTGTCAATTGTGAATCCGCTAGACGTGCTGCGGAAACGGTTGTTGCTGGAAATGGCTCGCAGGCAAATGAAAGAAAACACGAGACAGGTGAGCGAAGAGTTAGCAGCTTAAGTATGAAAAAAAATTTTGCATAGCATAACTAAAATACCAGAAACTAGTTCTTTCGGCGAAATATTTCAAAGCGGCGAATTTTTCAACTAGTTGTCTTTTATCCTAGTGGAATTGTTTAAATTATAAAATTTTTGCATCAACCTTAATTTTGTAATTGAATTTTTGCATTAGGCGAAATTGAATTTACTTGTTATCACTTAATATTAGATAGATATAAGACATAAACTGAGTAAGCACTGCGACCAGCAATAGTGCATCTGTCCCTAAAACTCTACACATTTTAGAATAGATACCGAGGGTAAGGAGAGGATTTGCACCTCCCCCATCTCCCTGACACGGATCCTGGAAATGGCGTAATGATGTCTCTTTGGCGGACCAGATCCCCAGCTATGCAAGTGGCCTCTTAGCCTACAAAACCCCATCAGAATATCTGAGTAATTGTAAGCCTCTCCTTGGGGAGGTTAATGAGTAGCCTGTATCTCTTTAGATTGCACCCTACTAGCGTGCTCTTAGCTTGGCGAAGACCATGGTCGAGTAATTTTTCATTCTTGGCGTTCCAAAAATATGGTTTAAACTTTTCACTTATCGGTCACGTTTGATACAAAAAAAAAAACGAAAAATTTAAAGTGCATGATGGTGAATTTTGTAAAATCGCAGCAAATTTTATCGGAACAAATACCAACACTTCAATGTGCATAGTATTTAAATTTAAGAACAATGCAAATACATTTACGTGCACATATGTATGTATGTATATATGTAACTACCCTACGTACGAGTATGTACACATGTACTTTGTTCCTGCTTTGTGTCCTTCGCCACCAATGGCAATACATCAGACACACTCTACGAGTCGCATAATAAATTGATTTGTCAACCCATCATAAATGTCATGTTGCATTTGCTTTGAGAAAAGTGTTGAAGTACATACATACAACATATACGCATATGTACATACATATGTATGTGATATTTAATACATGAAAATTGAATACAAATACGAGTATATATGAGGGCATGAGAGCCAGAGGAGCCTATCTATAAATACATTTCTTTGAATAATATGGGAATAAAAACGGGCTTTTGCCGATGTGTTCACTGCATCTATTTACTATTTATGTAAGAGAGGCTACCTAATATAGTAAAAGAAAACTAAAAGAGCGTGCCTCGGGTTATTACCGTTTCGATTCTATGTACTAAGGCAATCTAAGCTGTACCTCAATTTGTTTTGAAATATCAGTTAGGCCACTCTGGCTCCTAAGGCCTCATATGTACGTAGATGTGTGTAGATACATATATAGGTACAGATCCATACGTACATACATAGTTGGCGAAAAGGTAAAGTACTTTGTTGAATCGCGCGAATAACATAAATAAGAAGACGCCACAGGTACATACATACATAGTATGTAGTATGTAAGCATGTACAAAGCTGCCTTTTACTATAACAAAAGAAACAACATGACGTACCAATAAATTATGATTTCGCTCGCTAAAACTTTTCCAGATATGTATTTATTAGCCATCAATGTTTACAACCCTGATTGATGGATAAGCGGCGTACTTTCTTTTGATCCCAAAAGTTTTTCTTGATTGCATTTAAAGAGCTTGATTTCTTTCGTTGAGTCTCCTTTGATGCAAGTTTATAGACATTTCGTGAAACCGTGAAATATAATTAACAGAAATAGTTTCCACGACAATGCGAAATTTCACCTGTATCCGTTGTTTGCCCTTTGTGCTACCTGTGCTTTCTCAATAATCTTAAATTCAATTAACGCAATAGTATTGGTCTCTCAGTCAATGTTATCCACTTTTCCGTCCATTAAATACAATTTTAAAATGCACATAAATTTCCCCAGAGCGTTCAAGTTTCTCATGTAATTGTACTTTAATTTGGTCACACTACTCCAACAGGTGGAATTGAATCGTGCCATACTGAAGAATGTGGGCAAACGCATGCAACCAGCGCAAATACAACAACTATGGGAATACCCGCTCATCCGCTCGCCGTACCGACAGCAAACATACACATACTACACACCACATCAATGGCAACTGCAACTGCAGCAGCTGCTGCAGCCACGCCGTTACGTCAATCAATTGGAGTACGCACCCGACGTGTCCCCCCTCTTTGATTACCCACAACGACCGGCATACATGTACGATAGCATCCTGGCAGCATCCGCTCTGGCCGGTGTTGAGAGCGAAGGCGAAGCTGAGGCAGCCCGACGCACGCAATTCAACATCAACGCGCTTGAAGAAGGAGACGCCTCCAAAGTCAATGGAAATGAAATGACCAACGAAACAGCAAATGACAACAGAAACTCAAACAGCGCCAGCGACGACAGGAATGAGGCCTCTACAAGACGAACTCATGGAAATGAAGCAGCCAGCGTCAGCAACATCGAAACTATAGGCAGCAGTGGTGTGCTGACCAAAAACATGCCCGCCGATGAGGTGGAAGGAAGCGACAACAATGCAGACTATCAGCTACGCTACTTTTACGGTCTGCGTAAGAAGCACCGCAACATGAAAAAGTAAACTCCCAACAGATACCTCCAAAACACCACCAAAACACCCAGACACTCCTGAAGACCATCGAAATTATTTGAACCAGTCAGTCCAAGCATCTTTCGGGGAACACCAAATAATTTAAAAATATGCATACTCGTGCTCGTACAAACCGGTTATTGCAAAGCTTTGCTCTGTTTGGCTTTGTTTTAACTTGCAGAAGTGCTAAATGTGCAATTGGTTTTAACATTTACCTACATACATACATACATACATAGCTATCCAGTAAAAAATAATATAAGTTTTAGTCATATGTATTTTACATAAAAGTGGAGTGATTCCTTTATTATGTATAATAATGCATTAATTGTTGTTTACCAATAATTGCATAAAACTACAGTATCCAAGTACATGCAAATGTAATTAAAAAAATACATACATATGTACATGTAAATATGTATTTAAAAATAAATAAATTGATAAATATAATTTCTATTGACTGAGTGAAAAAACTAATAGAACATACCTTGAAAATATAACTACGCAGACATTGAACGTTGAAGAGGACCAGGCAAATATAGAAAAGTGCATTGGTCGCATTGCCCACTAAACAAACAGAAAATTTTATTTTTGCTTTTACGGGGAAGGAGAAACTAAATTGGATGCAAGTGAAAGTGATCACTGCCTCAGTAGAAGGGATACACTGAACAAACGAGATGCATCTTAGAATTCATGTCTTACAAAAGTAAAAGTTCTTAGGTGTAAAAGGTATCAGCAACTTTCGAAGCTCAAACGAGAAAATCGCGATGGCAGGACTTGCCCATCAGGTCAATGACAAAACAGCGAATTAGAAGCAAAAACTTGTCTGAATATTTGTCGACACTTGTATGCATGTAGGTATAGATATTCACTTCATTCTGCAGATCGAATTTCTTCAAGTCATTTCCATTACTTAAAAAAGGAAAAAACTGAATCAACAAGGTAAAGACGTGTACAAATACAGTTAAAACTGGTTAATGCGACTGCTCCATAATCCAAAAATCGAGTTGATAGATGAGTAGGCGCTGTAACCGCCTAAGTGATTTTGGCGAGTCCTGGGTTTAAAACTACCCAAACCAATCCCTGGAATTTTCAGTTTATTCATAAAAACATTCTTACATGACTACGTGGACTTAATCATTTTTGTCTCAGTTATTTTTAAAGCATTCTATGTTTATAAATTAAAAGAAGTTTAGTAAGAGTATGGTAAAAATTTTATGTATTTTTCCAGTTCTACGACATTTGGATTTGGGCGTGCTACAGCGCACGTTATATATTCAAACAAACCGATAGTCGGAATGTTTCGATAATCAGAACCATGTCTACAATTTTTAGTTCAGATTCTAGAGTTTTGACTGTATCCGTACATCGATACATGAGTCGGATGCATGGAAACTTGGTGTTCTAGGCTAGCTTAACCCCTAATTACTCGCACGACTCACACAACTGGGCGCATGGGGTCTTCAGCGACCCCAACTTGTTAGGCCGAATACAAAGCCTCGATATTATGAAATCAAATACTAAAACAAATATTTATTCCTAAAATACTTAAATCGCGCTATTGCATATGGAACAAAAAACTTTTTTTTGCGAACGAAATTGGGTTGACCCCATGTGAGTGATTAAGGGTTAAGAGCACAAAAATCTTGTACATAATTAATTGGTTAAATTGGAAACTAAATAGAATGAGTTTTTTATTGCCAGCATTTACATAATTCCACAGTTTCCGCGGGCGGAAGCGATTTTCACTCACGACTTTTTAATTTTCCCTGAACAAAACCTGCTTTAAAGTAAACTAATCAACTAAATAGTAGTGGTGTAAGGTGTTATTTTNACTTAATACATACTTATGATGGCAGCTCGTAATTTTAAGGTTCAAAATTGTGTATAATTTACGTAAATCTTTTATACAAATATTATTATGCTTGCTTTTTGGGCATTACCAAAAAATGTATGTATCACCAAATAAAGTAAAACACAAACGAAACTCTTATAACAAAAAAAAACTTAAATGCTACACCTAAAACACAACGTCCTATGTATAGCTGATGCTAATCCCCTTTAATTGTAGGACATATGCACATACATACATATATGTACTTTTGCAGTTCAACTGTTCCACTTCAAAAATTTCAAAGTACAAAAGTGAAGAGAAAAAATGTTAATTTTAAAAAAACATAGTTAAATAAAAGCATTTTAGAAAAGTTACTAAGAGAACCCACAAATAGTAAAATTTATGTCCGATAAAATGTTGTACGTTGCCTACATACATATGTACATATACTATATAATAGCTAAGGAAATTAATTGGAAAAAATAAATAAAAAATTATTTAAAAAAAAATTAGTAAAATGTTGAAATGTTGTATTCATATGGCTGGTAGTGACAACACAATTGTTAGTTTTGTGTTATTTATACAAACTACATACTTACATACATATTTATGATGTTTGGCCTCAATGTTGCTGGAAATACCTACATACATATGTACATACATATGTTTATTAGAAAATTATACAGGCGAACGCTTAAGCGATGAACATTTACATAAATAACTAACTAAAATGAAATGACTTTGAAATCAACACCTGTAAATATGAACTCCAGTTTTTCATAACTTCCAATAATGTGAATTGTAATTATGTATTTATTGTTTACATATACACATACTTATACGCATAAAATATTGAACTAAATCAAATGTAATATTTTAAATCATAATAAAATGCTTACCAACTGAATAAGGCGTTGGCTTTTTTTATTAAGTTCGATTATGCTAATCTGGCCACTGCAACTCCTACTTTTCACTTATGCATACTTGATTTTGCATTACTTGGACAAACATAATTTTTGAAAAATAATCGTAATTGTACATACATAGGTGCTTAACGCATCTAATAAATATCTTCCCAATATAATTCTCCCTCTCTTGCCCTCATTGCTCAATAGAATATGAGATTTACGGAATTAAGCGAGAACTTTCCAGTCAGACGAGCGGTGCATTGTTGTCCATAAACCTCTAAAGAAGAAGGCAAGACTCACTTAATTATTGTGATGATCACTTCTTCTAATAATCTGGATAGATTAGATGCGATCTCGTTGGAAAGACTAACTTATGGACAAGAAAGTTAGATGTTTGATACACAATAATGGAATCGGAACTATGTGCTGTTGATGCGCATACATCTGGCAACACTTATCCATACTGATACTGATTTGAAAATTTGTGAAATATCTGAAGAAATACGCTAGGTGAAGCGTCTTTTTCTTAAAAAGGAAAGGTGAAAATGCTGCAAGAACATGCCAATAAATTTGTACAGTGTACGGTGAGAATGTTGTAAGTGAACGCCGGATCCAGAAGTGTTATGCTCGATTGCGTTGTGAAAATTTTGATGTCGAAGATGCACCTGGCTCTAGCCTGCCAAGCACCGGAAAACATGACAGTTTTGAATCCACTAAAAAGAGCGGGCTACTCAAAATAGCTCATTGCTTGGGTGCCACATGAATTAACGCAAAGAAATTCGATTGGCTATCAGTGAAACACTGCTAAAAAGGCAATGAAATCGAACCATTTCTGAAGCGGATCATTACGGGCGCTGTTAGATTGAATATCAGAATAAGCGACGCAAGCGATCTTGGTAAAATACCGATGACCCTCCACAAAAGACTCCAAAGCCTGGATTGACGGCAAACATGGTTGTGGTGAGTGTTTGGTGGGATTGGAAGCAAATTGTCCATGATGAGCTCTACTGTGCACAACTCGAAAGAGGCAATCAAAAAAGAGCGACCAGAATTGATCAACAGAAAAGAGTTGTGTTCCACCATGGCAATGCTAGGCCACACAGATCTTTGATCGGAACTTGACCTACATTTGTTTTCGTCCCTTGCAAAACTCTCTTTATGGTAAAAAATTTGCCGACCGAAAGCCACCGGAATTCATTTGGCTAATGTGTTGGCCGATAAGCCACTGAAGTTCTACACCGATGGAATTTTGAAGTTACCCGAAAAATGGCAAAAGGTCTCGGAAAATAATGGCCAATATGTACTTGATTAAAGTTGATTTTCAAAAAAGAATTTTTTTTTAATTTACCGAAAATTCACGGTTGCCAGTGTTCGTCGTTTCCAACGAGACTTGGTTATTTTTATTTTATTTTTATAATTTGGTTATTTGGTTGTTTTTTTTTTAATTAGAAATTAGCAATTTTTTCTTTGCAAAAAAGTGTTATTGCATACTGAAGGCCAAAAATTAATAAATGGATTTTTAAAAGTCCTATTTTTAAAGTAACATTTTTTATATGCACATATAAAATGTAAATATGTGATTCAACGCACAGTATTTCAGTAATTTTTGTTTTCCGAAATAACAGCTATAACTTCTACCAAAATGTAAATTAATGTTGTTTTTCTCCAAAATTTTCATTAAAAAAAACGCCGTCAAGCTCAATAAAATTGTTGAATTTTTGTTTGTTGTAATAAGTTTTGCTTTTTGTAATAGATCCGTGGAAAACAAATTTGGTTTTTTTTCAGTTTGGTTGTTTTTTTTTAAGATTTTGGTTGGTTATTTTTTCAACAAGTGGCAATCATGTCAAAAAATTGCGTAGACTTTTTATATGACCCGGTATAATAATCCTAGGCGGCCGCTATGGTGTAGTGGTCAAAAGTGCGCACTTCCATCACACAGAGCCTGGAATCGAGCCCAGTTTCTAACGGAAATCAAAACCGAAGTAAAATAAAAGAAAAGATTATTTCTAACAGCGGTTGCCCGGCAGCAACATCAGGGCGCCCGCCACAAATCGGAGAGGTAGGTCGGCCAAACGCTAACAAATTGTATAAGCGCCAATCTATTAAATATTAGTATTGATATAATAATCACTTTTCCATTCCTAAACCATTTTTATTCAACAAAACTCTTTTCAATTTAGTCAAAAATAAAAATTTCTATTACATACTTTTAATCATGCTCACTTTTCTAATACATATGTATTTGTGGTAATAAATAAACAAAATACCACATACATTTATACATATATGTAAGTCTTTTAAGACCACCCACACTCACAAACCATAAACATTGCATGCGCACCTAAACAATGAAATGAAAACAACAAGCACGTGGCTGTAAACATTACCATCCCGTTCCCGGCGAACGCCCTCTCTTCCAACGCAAGAACTATTGAAATGTTTCGTTTATTTGATGTCACATAGCAACGCCACGCCGACGCAAAGTCCAATGCTTCGGATTGAAATCCGTCTCAAAGTCAATGGAACCGACGTATTTGGCATCTGTTCGTTGCGGTTTTCGATAGATAGGACATTCGTAGAGTTTTGGGTCCTTGCCTGCAGTTGTATTAATAGCATAGATGTAAATAACCGGCATTTGTTCGTAGAGCACTTTCATTTTGGACTCGATTAATTTTCCGCTGCGTCGATCTAGCGAAGCACCTAAAAAGGAGAATTGAGAATAAGTAAATTAGAAAGAGACGAATCACCGAACGGATGAAAGAGGCAATTAAACATATGTATGTAAGTATTTATATGTACTTAGCTCGTGTTCTAGAAGAAAGCCATACTCGTATTTAAAAAAAAAAAATTAAAATTAAAATAATAATTAATATTATGAGTTTTATTTTTCGCCCAAAATAAATTATTATTTCTTTATTTTTATTTATTCGCTAAAACGCAAAAATTACACCAGCACGAGTCCATTTACTCGAAATATTGGAGTTATACGAGACAAACGGACTTCAGATTCGGAAATACATGTCGGTAAATGGGTCTGGTTAAGAGCAAACACCACTTTTTTGTGTGCAGCTGATATTATTGAATTTTATATTTTCAATTAGTAATTATTATTTTTCAGCGAAAGATTAAACCTGAAGAATAAGTATTATTTTTGAACGAACACAATAAAAATTATAAATACTGATTCAAATTATTTTGCACATAATAATTACGGTACCTGAATGAATTACTTTCAACCAATAAATTTAAAAAATTCAGGGAAATGAACTGTAATCAAACCTTAATTCGCTTCCGTACTTTGGACAAAGAGTGATTGTTTTCTAAATATAAGTTACTAAGCAAAGAGGAGGAAATTCGAGTTGCTAGCAAGACAAGTCCCCTTTTTATGAGCCACGTTTAACAATCATACATAGTTTTGAATTTTTAAGTAACGTAAAAGAAGGGCTGGATTCCATTTCTAAATACTTAACACGAACATTTTTTGGGCTATGACGTTCTTGCAGCTATCGAGCGATACTTTGAGTACATTAGGGCAAATTTTAAATGTTTTGGGTATGTATTTCATTAAACGGTCGCCAAGGCCGAGTGGTTAGAGATACATACCACACTGCAGGAACTGGTTTCGATCTTTGGTCCAAGCAACATCTAAATTCAGAAAAAGTGTTTTGTAAGAGCGCACACCCCTCAACAGGCAATGCCAAACTTTCGGAGTGCATTAGGGCGAACACTACAAATTTTAGGAGAACCTTGGCCGAACGCTTAGCAAAAGTGTGCGTTCCAAATATCTATTTATTTTTAAATTTCCAAAAACTTAACTGACCCAACATGAAAACTTAAGCTACATTATTTCAGATATAAAGTACCTTTTAAACCTTGTTTGAGATTTAATAGTTTGATACAAAAGCGTTATTCAAATTATTTACTTTTCTAGATAAGCCTTGAAGGACCTACCATGTAAGTATGTATATACAAACATATGTACGCCATACACGCAACGTACATATACATACATACATACGTATTGCCAAGGTAAACATCAATTACGGCAGCAAATTTTGCAGGGTAAATTTTCATTAAATGTGTGCTGGTGGTTATTGAATTTTTGCTTGGATGTGAGTTTATTTTTTGACAGTTTACCCCATCGCTGGTCAGCCACAACCTTTTTGGCCAGTGGATTATTTCATATGCATACATACATACGTAGCTTGACCGTGCTTTTATACATACATACGTATGTTTGTCGATATGGAAATACTAAATACTTATGGACATTAAGGCGTATCGCGAAAAAAGTTTAGGGCGCGTCACTTTAATTCGAATACTCACATATTTCGAAAGAAAATTTTGGGCGTAAAAATTTTTTAGGCATCCGCTAAAACAGTTAAATCGCGTTTTCGCTAACTTTGTTATTTTATGTCCGATTTTTTAAATCTTTGTGTCGCCGAAAAGGCCTTGTTCAGGACCATAATTGGCACCTAAAGAGTTTTGGTCGCAAAGAACCGGTTTTGAACCGGAAAACCGCTTTTTTCTATTAATTAACTGAACCGAAATTTTCTACAAATGTTTTATCCGAACCGAAAACCGGACCACTTTTCATAAAGATTTAAAGGTTCATTGCAACCAATTTTCAGTTGATAAATTTACCCACCTTTTTCTTTTTGTTAAATTTGGTAAAACATGCCATATTTGTTTACCATGTAGCAATATCAAATGTAAAGGCAACCCATCTCATTTGACAGACACTTGACACTTAAATTTCCGTGTTAAACCGAAACCCCGGTTCAAAGTCCAAAAAAAACACGAACCAGTCCAAATTGTTTTTTTTTTTTTATGTTGGGTTGAACTGCTAACCCCTACACGACAACGGGTTTTAAGGTCAAAACTGGGCGCGACGTTTTCGGCGTCGTTATAGCGAAAAACGCGATTTTGGAGTTTTTAGCGGCTGCCTAAAAAAAATGTTTCGCCCAAAATATTTTCTCAGCATAAGTGTTTAAATAAAACTGAAACACGCTCAACTTTTTTTTCATTCATATATAGTGATACGTCTTAATGGACATATACTAATGCATTATCTGTAACAAAATAACCAGGGAGAGAAAACCCCTAAAAAACTAAATGGATTCACGATGTAAATCAGCGCAAACCGAAGTGTAATATACTTTGACATTAATGGGCAAAAGCTCCCACATCTTGATAGCATTTTGAATAGTGCCATTGGCACGTGGTTTAGTCATTTTAAAGCGTGGCTTTATCCCCATAGTTTGTATGTATTAGTTGTATGCCTGTTGTATGCGTAAGAATAACAGCATTCTCTAAAATGTAAGAATTCTCTTCCTCAGCTAATACAAAATTCAAGTCACAGAGGACTAAAGCGAATAGTTGCTCCGCTCAATGCGGGTTAAACATCCTTTTCCACTATAATCGAATTTACATATTTAACCTGTATGTACATAGGTAAGGAATGAAGCAGACATTTATTCGAAATATAGTTTGTGCGATTGACCAATGAAACATTTCTATATACCTGCAGTCGGCAGCGACAGAGTGGAATGACAAAGTGACAGGCATTAATAATGTTTTCATTTCGAAACATTGGCAACATTTTCTTATTTATCCATACATATGTATATATGTGCTATATATACTATAGATACATAACTGTAAGCTCGTTTAAAATAAAGTTAGGTAAAATGGATCGACTGGCAAATTTTTGGTATAAATTCATGATCGTTGACCCGCCTATGTACATACTAGTATACATACATAAATATGTCGAATTATATGTTCTCTTTTATATCAATATCTTTTCAAATTTTATTTCTATGGACACCCAGCTTCACTTGTATATGCACTGTTTTTCTTGTGGACTGTGTTTTGGGCAGTTTTCTCCACATATAAAAAATTTTGACTTTAACCTTGAATAACTTTTATAGTAGTTAATTTATGGGAAAATCTTAAGAGATTTTTTACGGCCTTCAATTTCCTTCGAAAATACATATATGCCCCTCACGTTGAGCTAAAAACGATTGACGATATTTGAAAATTTTTTTTTTAAACTTTTGCCAAAATCTCTGAGCATGCTTTTGCGCCTGCCATAAAAACCATTTGCTCTCCCGAGGTGGCGTAAAAAGAAGGTACATCCTAGGAAAGAGGTGAGCGCCAAATATTTATTTATTTATTGGTGATTGACCATAAACTCCATGTAGTGCACGATATGCGGCCACTGAAGATTTCGCATTTTGGTATAATAATATTATAATAATTTTAACGCATTGGTCGGTGGAAACACACATTACTATTTATTGTGAAATGACGCGAAATGGATAACACGTTATTAGAAATGTAGTAAATAACAATAAAAAAAAACGCGTTTCGGTAGAAGAGAAAATCATTTGGAGAGCCCTCGATATATATGTATATACATTAGGGTTGTTCAAAAAAATGCATGTGAAAAAGTAAAGTCGGAATTTTAATGCTCTCAGCCCTTGGGATTGTTCCATTTAGGGTTTGTAGTGGTCCTGTAAAAAATAGCTTATAATAGAAAATGGCTAAGTAAACGATTGGGTATTGTGATTGGAAGTCTCCTTAAGGAGAAACAAAATGTTGCGATCGAAAAATGTTGATTTTCAGGAATTCCATGCCATTTCTACGAAAATTGTTTTCCCATGTAAAATACATGGAAAACTTTAAGCGCTTTGCGCGACCACCAAATATTTTTTGAACAATCATCTTAAGGGGTGAGAGCATTAATATAACGACATTACTTTTTTCTTGACCACCCTAATATACATACATAAAAATGTACATTAACGTATGCGTGCTTGTTGAAATGTGTTTTTATAGGCTCTAAATATGCCATTCATTCGAGCAGGGATTTTACCATTAACCACAAAGTAATAAAAACTACTAAATAGCAAAAAATGGTTTAAGCCATTCAAAGTAAATAAAAACGCTCGAGATCAAAGTGGAGGAGGGGACAGTGTGTGAAAGTAAGTAAAAACACGTAACAGGTAATTTAACGAAATTAGGCTACTTTACAAAAATAAAATAAGAATTATTAGTCCCACACAATTTGTAAGCTTGTACGGATGTGTTAATCAGATCTGGTAACGAAAAATTCAAAAATTTGGCACTGAGGTTCAAATATTCAAGCCACTTGACTAAAGGGTAACGAATGCATCTACCCATTTTTATTTTCATATGTAAATATGTAGTACATATGTATGTATCAGTAAGGGTATACACATTTAAATTTATGGCAGTTCGAAAGGACAGTGTGGATAGAAAAATATATACATATACAACTGTAGGCAAAAGTATACAAACAATTCAAAGTAAAATATAAAACAGATGAAGCGAGCAAAAGTGGTAAACAAGCAAGAAAGCAACACTAGCTTACTACATATACATACATACATATGAGTTGAGAGGTCACATCCATTCAAGTGGGGCATGCCATAGCTAATGCACTCGAATAACTTTACTCACCTTCCAGGAACAGGCCATGCACGTAGACACCTTCGGTGGGGTATTCGGAGATGTCTTCCTTGTTGTAGCGAGTTATTTGATTTTGCAACACCACGGAGTCCAGGGCCCAACCTTTATGAGCGCGTGTGACTTCCTGAAATCCCACGCGAACGCCAGGCAGCGGAGGTTAGTTTTCCATTTGTGCGTATTTGATTTGTTTTTTTTTTTTTTTTTTTTTAGAGCCACGACACAAACACATACGCATGTTAATAAACGCACATAAAAGAACCGGTAATGTTCATATGTTTGTGATAACAACGCAGTCGGGCAAATAGTCATCGTAATTGAAATGAAACAGTAGCAAACAATTGAATTAGAAATGTTTTGAAATAATAAACAGTTATAAATACTACTAAATAGCAACGCCACAAAAAAAGAGAGCATAGCACGCACACTGGAGATGGGCGCGAGATATCCGGTTGGTTGCGCAATGCTGGGAATGGTCGGTGTCGGGAGTCTTTAAAAAATTGCGGTCAGGTCGGGACAAAAAACCTTTCCCGGCATTCAGAAAGTTGTATTACCAAAAAATTACCAAAAAATGCTACCAGTTCGTTTCACCGTGGTTCTAAGTACGTTGGTAATGCAGTTAAATATTCAGCAATTCAGCTATGAAGAATTTTGGGAATTCTGGCATTACATATTTCACGCGGCAATACTTTGTTACCAGAGTACATAGAATGCGAAAAGGTTATAAAATTGTAATTACCAGCGCAGATTAGACCTGCATTAACCCGCGGTTCAATTTTGAAAAACTTTCAAGATGGGCGGGATCGATACCTAAAACTTGAATATCGTGATGGGCGAGATCGGGATTGAATATTTAGTCCAGTGCCCATCTCTAACACACACAAGCCCAAAATCACACCTACGCATGCACAGACGTATGCCACACGTTAGATGCCCTAAGTCCACTACAGTTGTATTTAGTAATTTAATCACATAGATATGGCATCATCCACATTATAATCAACCCTAGCCGTTCCCACAGGAGAGCCATAAGTGCGTTTCTTACATGGCGCATACACAAGCATTTACATACATATGTATGTATGGATGAGCACACGAATATGCGAATGTTTGTCGCCGGGCACAATGTTACAATCCCGAATCAGAAGTACACACAAATCTAATTTTAACGCCTTATTCGATTGAACAAAAATTTATTTTTATTAACCAAATTCGAAAAAGGAGGAGGTTATCAGTTCGTCGGAATATACTTATCTATATTACCGCATCACTTTGGACCACGTTTACCGATTTCTATAATTTTTTTTTTTTTTTAAGGAAAGGTGGTACCTCAGAGGTAGTCCCATACTAATTTAGATCCGATCTTTGGATCATCAAGAAATTAACGGTACTTTTATATGAGAATTGAAGTCGGTTTGGTTTTTTGCTTAAAAATTACTTGTATGTATATATAAATTTCTGTTTATTTGTGTATGTGCATATGACCAACAGGTTGTGAATATCGGCTGTAAGAATGTTTTCAAAGATGAGCACATGAGAGTGAGGTTTGGGATCTTCTCATGTTTTTTCGTCAGTCTCTTCCGAAAATTTTGTTATATAAAAATGATGATGTCACACAAAAGACGACTCACCTTATACTGAAGAAGAAAAGCAAACAATTTTTGTTTTCGCTCGAGCGAAGTTCTTGAAACGAGAGAGGAACGAGAAGCAAGGATTCTGCAATAAATCGCTTATTTTATAATCATTTATTATTAAGGGCCATAAGCCCCGGGATCTCTAGCGTGTATTAAGTGTAGCACCATCTAAATGAGTTAATCTGCGCCCAGTGAAAGTGTCACATTCACAGAGAATATGTTTTGGCGTTTCATCGCAAAAAGCGGCAAACATTTATTTCTGAAAGCTCAATTCTTCTGAAGCAATAACGAAAGGAGCAGTGTCCAGTGCAGTACCTAGTAAGAGTTTTGAGGTAGTCTCCACCTTAATTAAGAAGTTTCTTTGAAGATTCATTTCAAGGACAGATAAATCGTCTGGCTGGACCCTTATTTGAATGAAGATGTATTTTATTCAAAACACTTAATTTTAAGAAAGATGTTTTTTGTGGTGCAAAATATTACTATACGCTTTCGTTTTCAATGAATAAACTGATATAATCTTCATAAAAATATTTAAAAAAATTTAAAGTTGTGACTGAAACTTACAGGCCAACCTAAATATTCACGCACGCCGGCAATTTACTGTCAAAATTTTCTCATCCACATACAACTTGAATGGGGCCAACCGGAATTGAACGGCGTGTGTAAAAAGCTAACTCAAATTCGAAGGTTTGTCTTGCGTGACATTTCGATTTGACGTTTATACTCATTTGACAATTTTGGCACGACCATGGATTAAAATTGTATGCAAGAAACCT